AGCTGAGGGTTATAGTCGCTCTTCTAACGTTGGACCAAGCTGCTTCGGTTCGAAAAGCAGACGACGGTCTATCGATAGATGCCCTTTCTATCAGTTTCTTTCCCCCACTGCTATTTTCTGGATAGCCTCTCGTGTATAGTTGCCAGTGAAGTTTGAGGACATGGACTGCAAGGTAGATTATTGGCGGCATCGCTGGTGTTGGCCATTTCGCGTTGGTGGCTTGTATATGTTCATGATGGTGATTTTATCGACCCTTATAGTTACTATGCTCACATAATGAATATTTCCTTCATGAATATGCGGGAGTTCTCGCAGAACGAAGGTAGTGATCCCACGTTTTCGGTAATATACTTCAGCAACCAGCCGGAAACCGCTGATCATCTAACGTGGTGCCTTAGCCACGTCGTCAGTGCGGGTTTCTTGTAGGACAATGACCCCTCGACACGGTGGTCCTTGAGTGAGAGCGACAAATAGTCGCATTTCTGAATGGGAAATGCTTTCGATACTGAGTTGGTATATGCGTAGTCTGGGACCAATAGTTCAGTTTGAATGGCCCTGAGAATAACCATTGGGTTGAGTAGCGGCATAGCATGCTCTGAATGGGATAGTTTGGTCCAGGCTGGTCCTGAACGTTGGTGAACCTTGGGCTCAGCGTTGTTATTTCACCGATTTGACAACATTAGTTTTCTTTCAGGGAGGACGCTGGCCAGGTTGACCACTGGAGGGTCACGTCAAGATTTTCATTCTAATTATGAATCAAATGAACTGAAAGTTAGAACAGTGACTGCAATTTCCATAATGTAATTGCTTACGTAACTTACTGATCATAAAAATCTGCATTCAGCACAAACCGCTTTCCAGTAATAACTCCTGACTAAACAAGTCGTTCCCTTCCTTTCTTTAGAATGACGTAATCAGAGTATGGAAGTAGTGATTGCATAAACATAGGCCAAACTGTGAACAATAAGAGTTTGTTTAAAAAGCCGAGCAAATGTGGCAAATTGAAACCTCACCATATTGAAAGATGGATATGTCATCAGGCTCAATCCCTCGGTATAGCCTAAAAGTTACAGCATCGTAAAGATATGGCAGAAATGATCCGTATGTTTAACACGAAGAACCGTTACAACGCTCCAAAATGTGGGGAATAGAAACAAACCAGCAAGCTTCACGACAACGTGACAATCACTGAGCTCTTCTTAGAGGTATGCTGGAGTTGAAGCTGCGATATTTCGACTCCGTTC